ATACTTAAGAAAAAAACTAACAATGATACCAGTATCTACTGAAAACACTTTCCCAACAACAGAACAAAAAATTACGGTCTCTCGAAGTGCGTTTCGCTAACCAAGTTAGCGTCCTCAGGAGATAATAACAGTAGCACCGCATATAAGTAAACAGAAGTAAATTCACTCCCGGTCGGTCTCTTTGATGTTTCGGGTCGAGATTTTATTTTTTGCTGGCATGTAGAGGGGCAGGGGCGCTATTCTTGACCGTTCGCAAATTTGAAGGTCCTTCGCAAGTTTGAGTATTGTGAATTATCCTAGAGTAATGGTATTCTTGACGCTTCGCACAATCTGCAATCGCTCTGAATTTACTACGAGCGAACTTTGTAGATCGCAAACGATTTGCGAACGAATTTGGAGAGGTTAGGTCACAGAATTTTGTGGTTAGGTAGAGGGAGTGGTACAGAAAGTTTATATTTAGTGGTTGAAATTTGTCGTATTAGTTGAGTTATACCTAGTTGATACATTTATATAAAATGGATGAACTGCAGTATATAGCAAATTTAGAGAACCTGGAAATAGCAGAGGAACCAATACATCAACCTAATCGGTTTGATAATATCGATCCTTTTTGATGTTTTGAGTGAGCATCAGTTTTTGCAAACCTTTAGAATGACCAAGGAGCTATGTAGGTATTTAATTGATATGGTATCTCCGTTTATGCAACCACAACGACGACGTACTGACATTACCGTTACTACCAGGGTAATATTTATATAAATTCAAAAAAATGTTAAAAAAAAAGTATTCCTCAGGTATTGGTCGCGTTACGCTTCTTCTCAACAGGAAGTTATCAAATGGACATCGGGAGAGATGTTTGCATCTGTTTCACAATCTTTTGTCTCTCGATATATTGAGGAAGTAAGTGTTGCACTTAATGAGCCAGCAATTTTTGACAGATGGGTGACTTTCCCAAGAAATATGGAAGAACTAAATGGAGAACGATTACGGTAAATACCTACAAAAGTATATATCTTTCTAAAAGATGGTCTCAAACTGGGTATATAAACAGATATTCAGTTTCAACTCAACCTCCACATATCTGAATGAAAACTCAATACTGATAATACTTTCTAGATTTTTCGAAGATTTCAATTTTCCGGGGGTTGTTGGCTGTATCGATTGCACGCACATAGCAATATTTCCACCCAATGTCGATGATGTTGAACATCCCGAACATATTTATGTTAATCGCAAAGGCTACCACTTCATTAATGTTCAACTGGTAAGTCTACTTCTACGTAGAGAATTGAAACTTTCTATGTTTTTTACCACTTTTATTTGTATAACGTTACTGCAGTTTCATCCTATAAGGACATTTTTAAACTTAACATAGAAAGTATCAATTCTCTTTTCTTAACTATAATTTTGTTTTTCAGCAACAGTAAACTGAAAATTATCAATGTTAATGCACGATAATACCCAGGAAACACACATGATGCATTCATTTGGGCCAATTCCAATATTTTGGAGGTGTTCACCAATCTTCATGCTTTAGGTCATACAAACTACTATTTTTTAGGTAGGTATGTCTAGGATTGTTTTCAATAGATAGTGATTATAATTCGCCCAAATGATTTTGGCCAAAGTTTTTGGTAAAAAATTTATTAATTATATCTGTAATGAATTCTTACATATTTTTTAGGGGATACTGGTTATCCATTGAGGACAGGGCTCTTAACACCCCTTGAAAATGAACCACCGAAGGTACACCAAAGCATAATTATAATAAAGCCCACAAACAAACCAGAAGTATGATTGAAAGATGTAATGGGGTTTTGAAAATGAGATTCAGGATAATAAACTCGTGTGTTGTACTTCACAATATGTGTATAGAGTATAACATCCCAATGCTTGAGAATGACAATGAAGAGATACAAAATATTGACTTTGGAATTATTCTCAATGCAAATCTTAATGATAACAATGAAAATAATGATGAGCACAATCCAGTGAGGCGCATAAATCTCCAGCTAGCTGCAGGAAGGAGAGCAAGGCAGCGTCTAATAGATAACTATTTTCGGAATAATTAGAATAATTTTGTACATTATCAGAATGTCCATTATATTATTATATTATACTGGTTAACCATCAAACACTGAAATCATTACATAATCATATCAAATACATATAAACTAACAATTTATGAAGTTTCATTTGAACCATAAAGATTATTTCTCAGTAACCCTACTGTAGATTTAAAATTTTCAAAACCATATTGAAAAACTTGAATTTTTTCCTGAATTCCATGAAAAACTGTTGTATGAAAATATTGGTTCTACTAGTACATAATTTAAATCAATGAAATATCTTGTTTTGGGCATAAAAAATAATTTTTTTTCAAAATTTGAATTTACAGGAAAAGACTGAAACAAATATATGTGCAAACAACTTCTATTTAAGATTTAGCCTCAACTAAATCTCTTAAATAGTTTATGCTTTCTTTCATTGCAGCTGCTGTTCTTTCCTTGGCAGCTGCTGTTCTTTCCTTGGTAGCTGCTGTTCTTTCCGTGGCAGTTGCTATTCTTTCTTTGGCAGCTGCTATTCTTTCCTTGGCAGCAGCAGCTTTTTCTTTAGCAGCGGCAGACTTTTCTTTAGCAGCGGCAGACTTTTCTTTAGCAGCGGCAGACTTTTCTTTTACAGCAGCTAACGTTTTCATCATCATAATTTTTGTCCTCATAGTATTTTTTTAATACAATTTTTCCGCTCAAGGGAAACCTTATAATTAGCTGCCGCCTCAGATGCATAAACCAACTTCTTTTTTGATGCACGACGAAACTTTTTTTGAACACAAATTTTAGGTGTTTCCTTTGATGTAGAAGGTCCACACTCCAATTCAATAGGTGGCAACTCATCAATATTCACTACATCACCAATTGGATTTGTTTGGTTGCCTTCGCTTGAATCGAATGGAATAAGATCGTCTTTCCCATTTGTATTGAATGTAAAACCTGTGCAGGATTCTTTAATATTCAAATGACCTGGTATCGATACAGGTTTAATTGTTTCAAGCACCTCTCTCTCGAATTTATTTTTCGGATCCTGCACAGCTATTGAGGAGCACTGCTAGTTCCTGCCACAAAATTTGAGCATCTTTCTGTGTAAACTCATTAGAAAACTTTCCACTCATGAGACGCGGATTTTTTTAAGAATTACAAAAGCAGCTGTTTTTGTTCTGATGAGGCATTACTTTGTCTATGCTTTTGGTTGAAGTTCATCATGAATACTATCGAATATTTGAACACCTGATTAATATTTTATAAAATTATAACAAATAGTAAGATGTTCATTAATCTATAATTGTAGACTATAACTCGCCGCAAACACATAATTTGATATAACATTCAACCTTTGTATATAGACTAACTAACATTAATGCGCTGTTGCCAATAATAATTTATCGTGCGAATGATTACGTTTCCTACACTTTGCGAAGGGTGGTCAAGAATAGCATTTCCATTAAGTCTTCGCAAGTAGACCTTTCGCAGTATTGCGCGAACGATCGTAGTTGCGAAGGATCTCAAGAATAGCACCCCAGGAGGGTGTAGGCTTAGAGCTATTGTCCACCTCTGCACGAGGTTCGATCAAAAAATATGTGACCATGATCATTGGTCATCACTGGTTTTCATCATTGCGACAAGGAGCTCCCAATAAATGTCTCATATGATTGTGAACTATTTAGGAATTGATAAAAAATAAGACAAGGTGGTGAAATAAACGTATATTTTATATAGTAAGTTTATACAATTTAGGTCAAAAACTTTCGCTAATCTATTCTAAAGGTTTTTCAGAATGATGAGTTTTTGATTGTTTTTAACATTTATTTTCAAATTTTTATTGGAAAATTTCAAAGTATAATCAATTCTTACCCTTCTGAAAAGAGAAAATAAATAATCCAAAGGAAAATTATTACAAGGATGAGAAATGTTGATTTTTGAAATCATTGTTGTGAGCTAGTTGCCTATGCAATCAGTGGCACATGAATTGTTAAAATGATTAAGAAATTCTGTCTCTAGATGAATTATACATTGTAAAAATGAATCTGGAGGCATAGATAATCTTCCAAACTGTTTGGCTACTGACAAAATGGTTTAGACTTTCATGGCTGAAGTTTTCAGTGTCATTGCTTTTCGAGTTTGAAAGCCGTGGATTTTTGGAATTTCTTCCTGACGTTTCGCTGGCGCGAGTGGTTAGCTTCTTCAGAGGTTTAACCATCATGCCTTGCTGTCCGATGACTACCTTTTAGGCTTCGTAAACCGTATTTATGCCTTGTCAGGTAATCAGTTGTAATCGGGAGGCGATAGAGATCCACAAACACACGGATAATTTTAACAGAAAAGAAGAATCGGTGAAACCTAATCAAATATGGAACCCCATTTTGAGGAATTCGAGAATAACGAACAGGACAACAGTCAGCAAGATTGTTAATGTTCCAGGTTCAAGTGCAGGTACGAATACAGGTACAAATGCAGGTGCAAATACAGGTACAAATGCAACTGATTACCTGACAAGGCATAAATACGGTTTACGAAGCCTAAAACGTAGTCATCGGACAGCAAGCCATGATGGTTAAACCTCTGAAGAAGCTAACCCCTCGCGCCAGCGAAACGTCAGGAAGAATGATACAGCTATACAATCTCATTTCAAAGAAATGTTATAGCAATGGGATTTTGTCCTTAAGGAAAATCGATCAAACTGTAAGCAAGTACCCAGATATTTCATTTCTGAACAGTGATAGCTCACTCAAAAAATTTAATTTTTTTTTTATAACATTGAACTGTATCATATAACTCCAAGCTATCAAATTGTTGAATAATTAAAATAATTCCATGACATGATTACAACTAATATAACAAGAAATTTAGTGAATGAGTACAATAAACTTTTTTCAGAGAAAGGCAACTTTGAAAATAGTACCCCGATACAGTAGTCTAAAATAATTGAACACAAAAATAACTCACTATTGATTACTCATATCTGAAGTTATACGATATTAGTGCTTAATCTTACGATTCACATGGCATACCTTCTCGTCTCTGAGTCAGGCTAATCTAAAAAACACTCGCGGAAACAAATGAAGCACTGTCGCGCGAAGCACACACTGATTTTTTTTTTCGAGCCGATGCACTTTACTGGTGCGCTGGCTGGTGGCTAAATTTGCATAAACGAATAACGCAGACGGTTCGTGCTCGTCATTTCTATGTCGATAAGATGCTGATACGTAGATGTTTTTCTTTCGGCATGAGATACACTGTCAATAAACTACAATCTAATGTGAGCGATAATTATATGAAACCAACGGGAGTGGCTGATGCTCCCTGACGATGACGGGTGGATGAGTACAGGGTGGCCAAGTGAAAGAGATATAGCTTTTTCGAAATTTGTTGTGATTCTTTCATTTTCATATGATGATGAGAGTCACCTCAAAATATTTCAATTTCATTGGAGTTGGAGGAGATTTTTTTTCTAGTAATGTTTCTCATTTCAGGTTTGGAACTTCCACAGAGAGTTTTTCAAGGACAAAACACAAGCACTACAGGAAAATCCTCAAGGCGCTCTAGGAGCGTTGCCTGTGCGTTGGATTTGAATCGCAGGAGATTGACTTCATTTGGAAAAACGTTCTCAGGAAGTTTATTCCACATAAACGCAGTTCTCTAAATGGAAGAGTTCTCAAACAGTGAAGTTCGAGGTGTACTGAGTTGAACCTCAAACGATGAGCAGCCACAGTCTGTCGCGTATTTCTGATATGTACCGCTCTTCAATTCAATGCAAATATACTTTATTGTCTGAAGAATAAATTCTTATTGGCAAAGCCTTGTGCGAAATAAATTAAATCACTAGAGTATCACAGAAGTAAAATCACTAAAAGTGAGTGATGAACTGAAAAGAGACATGTAGATAACAACAACCTAATACAAACGTTCAGGATACAAGAACAGGGTCAATAAAATTTTATAAATCAATTTGAACTAAATTGAATCAAATCAATAAATTACCGTAGATATTACAGTTAGTCTACTCAATTAAAATTATCATCGTAGTATTCTGCCAAGCTATAATAAGGTATCACAGAAAACNGAAAATTTCAACTTTTGAATTTTCAAAATGGAGAAAACTTTGGCGTTTGTTTCTCCCTACATCGAGTTGTTTGACAATATTTCTATAGATAACTTTTCAAGTTTGGTCTTCCTCTTGAATATGGTCACTTGGTGATCGAAACACGTATGGAGGTGTTTGAAAATAACGGTTTGGAGTTGGGAAAAAACTCCAGTAATATTCAACTTTTCAAGTGTTTTATCGTTCAAAATATCGAAGTCGATGAACTATAGCTTTATTTCAAATTTCTTACCTCATAAACAATTGAATGGCGCCGTGTACAATGATTTCGTTGTCACCCGGTACAATCTTCGATATGTTTGTGGTCGACCACATTTTTTGCGAAACACGAATTTTAGAAATTCTAAATATCTTGAATAGTTTACTGATGTTCTTTTCAAAAAATTATTCGAGTGGAATATGTTTTTATATCTTCGCGTAGGATAACTTAACACACTGGAAATAGTACAATCATCAGAAATATTGTTTGGGAGGAAGTTGAGAAAGAAAAACAATCCGACAACACCGTCCGCGTTAGCTACTTTTTTCTTCTAGGATTTTCCTTACGTCAGAAAGTGTGGCCAGCTCATTATTGCCTGAAATATCTCTGGTTTATTTATATTCGAACAGTGATTTCCTGCCCTGACTGATCTGGTTCAACGAAAAACTCGTTAGTTTTGAGTTGATGTCAATAACATATTTATATCAACGTTCGGAGAGTCATGCTTGAGGTTTTCTGTTTTCGAGAAATGAGCATATATCATTGTTTAAATAACGCGTGATGAGCAACTTCTGAAAAATTATTCAGACATCGGGTTAACCAAACACATACTTTAGTAAATAAATATGATATAGATAGTGTTTATATTAATCAGGAAAACCGCAAACAAGTTTTTGTTTATCCTATTTTCCAGTGACTACGGAAAAGGAGTTCATTAATTCAAATATTTCGTAAACTTGATAATGATGAAAAGAAAAAACTTTTTGGCTTTCTGCTTCTCCATCATTTCATATAAAGTGGGAAAGTTTCAAACAAAGAATGAAAAAATTGAGTACGTCAATGAAAATACTTTACAAAGATATGTAGATCATTACAAAATTTTCTTCGGATAAGCAGCTTCTTTAAAAAAAAATTCAATCAAACGAATATTGCAATTTCACAAACAATTTGAACTTCAAACATTCGCACAAAGGCTACCAACAATTTTGTTCGCTTTTTGCACCGTATTCACTTCATTTTCGATCATGTTGCATATACAGGGTCGGATTTAGGAGTTTGGAGGCCCTGGGGCAATGAAGGAGTAGAGTCCCCTAATTATTTTGCTATAAAAAAACAGTTGTTCAAAATTATTAACTCTATCAAATATATAGGGAAAATTAAACACGATGTGTCCCTTAATTTTTTTTAAGTTAAATTGTTAACTTTCTGCTATGAAAATTAAGAATTTTCAAAAACGGGAAAGCGAGCGGAAATCGATTTATCAATAGATAGTGTCGTTCAAAAATTTCCATTCATATAATTTCGTCAAATAATTTTCAAAATTTTAAGCTCGAAGAAGCGAGAAGTTGTAAGGATGACCTGCAGGGACAACCGTTTTTCGGATTTTTTTACTTTAAGTCATGGGTACAAATTACAAATCCCACACTCTCCATCTTGTCCACTTTATCTGGAGTTTATAAGCTAGGTGAAAATGATTCGACGAATCTGAACGATACGGAAAATTTGCACTATGCAGGCAAGGGTTGAAAACTCAATTACTTGGAATCCTTGGAAATTCACAAACATAAGCATTGCGGATGTAACCTGCTAAAAGACCAAATTGACCTGATACTAGCCGGATTTCAGATTAGCGTACTTACATTGTCACAGGCAAGGGCGTCGCCAGCTTATGACTAAGGGAGGACAATGAATGAATGAATGAATGAATGAATGAATTTAAATCATCGATTAACTAGATTCAGTTTGTGGGACGAGCAATGAAAGTAGAGGGCTTTGGTTTACTTTTTGCGTAAGATCGCTTGTACCCCTCCGCCTTTTCCTGACATCGTTGAAGAACCATCAAAACCAAAACCAACGCATTTATTTATATTCAGATCTTCTTTTATCAAAAAACTCATCTATGCTATGTGCAATAGATTTCACATCCAACTCTTTTAGCTCAATGAATTCGACAAACATTTCTTAGACTTTCTGTGTTTCTTCATCAAAATTTCGCATCCCAATAGATAGTTGTTTAGTGCCAGAAATATCAGGTGTTTCGTCTGCTAGCACACTATATGCTGCTGCTTCTTTCACTTTTTTCATAATATCAGCCTTAATAACGCTTCCACAAATACAAATAATTTCATTTTGAATATCCACTGAACGGTAGCTTGCATTCTTTTTCCCTTGCTCGATGTGTTTTTTTAAAATCAAATCTCCCGCGTCAATTCGCAGCCTGTATAAATCCTCGAGAATAACTTCACCATAATGTTTACCTCTCAGTGCTAAGTCGCAAAACGTAATGCAGGAAATAATAGATTTTATAATTTTGCGATTTTCTTCAATAATTCCTTGGAAATATTTGTTCAGTTGCAAATCGACAGGCACACCTTCCAGAAAAGATTTAGCAGCTTTCAATGCCTCCTTATGGAAGTGGATTTCAATGTGCTTTTTGGACTGCTCGAGAACTTACAACTTACAATGATCCCAATATGCCTCCAAATGAATTTNGAATTTGGGACTGTAGGTATCATTTTTAAAATTATACAGTAGTGCACTCCTTTTACATTTAATTATTATAGTCCAATGAACAGATACGACGTATAAAAACTCGATTAATGGAGTTTCAATGACCCGTTTCAGTTGACCTATCAAGTAAATGTCAGGCGTTTTCATTATAATATCGATACAAATTTATGTAAACTACTTATCATTCCAAGTGCAAATATTGTCGATATCAATAATATCCATATCATTTCATTCTCCCTGATAATCTGGTTGGTACAGGATTCTATAATCTAAGGGTCGAGTGACACTCGATGTGTAATAAACTGAATATTTAAACCCTTATCTTGTGGTCTGAGTGTTTTCCGAGAAAAAATCATTTTTCAGCTAGAACCTTTTCTGTGTGCCTATTTAGTTATAAATAGCACCTAATAATTTAACTTTAATGAAATGAATGAACACACTTTTATTTAATTCTACTAGTTATTTTATTTTTACGACCAGTTTCGGGTTTTATCCCATTATCAAGTATAAAAATAACTGATACATTTGAAATCTGAAAACAAGGTTTTATAGAGAGTTTGTAGGTAAGCTGGAAGGGGAGGTCGTTAAACGAACAATGGTGCCAACTATGAAATTTAACACTGGAGATTATAGAAATTAACAGGGTTGTCAAACTTATACATTCAATAGTGGAGACCTACATAAATCGAGTTGCTCGTTTAGGGGTATATATTTCGGATTTTTAATTGCCATGGCTTCTAACAAATTAATTTTATTTCCTTCATTACATGTGTATAGGATTTTGAGATAACTAATTATTTAACCAACTTTGCAAATAATTATCGGTGTAGGCAAAACACTTCATATAACATAGTTTTATGAAAAAGTATTAATGGAAATTCTCAACGGGAATGAACAGATTATTTTCAGTTTTTGATGTCAAACATCTATAGCCGGATAGCCGCATGTAAAATCGATTGCTAGCCTGACGACATAAAAAAGCTTGTCAAATCTAGGAAGAGACTTGAGAATTTCTGCTCTCTCTCTCTTTCACTAGTACAGTACTAGCGAATGAGAGAGAGAGAGAGCAGAAATTCTCAAGGCTCTTCATTCATGGTATCATACTATACGATTGCCTCAAAGTGGTTAACTTTTGCCAAAATCCGTGAAAGAATTTTGTTTAGATTATTGGATATCTGTTATCTTAGTTATCTGTCTCATAATTTTGATTTCAAAGTTATTGTTTATTTCTCCTCATTTTTGATTATTTTTTTCAACTAAGTCATACAATAATTTCAGTCTAATATTTTCAATATTTTGTCCATTTCTGTTTCTTCTCTATTAAAAGTTTTTAGTACCATGGAAACACGAAATATATACTCACAATTATGATTAAATGGGTTCGTTAGATTTTCTCTAGTACAATTTCTGGCAAAATA